GTGAGGGAAATGATATATTATTTAAAAATGAAATAACATTAAGAGACGAAACAGATAATCATCCATTTAATTTCATTTTCATATCAAAATGGAACATTAGTGAAGGTGCCACAAAAAATTAATTTATGTGCTCTTCCAACAAGTGAAATACTAATAGCTGGACAGTCGTATAAAGTTATGAATGCTATATTTCATTATGGTTCATGTATCGAAAACGATTATTTTATAAGTATGTATACAGAAGGTTCACCTTGGATTGAAACTGATGATATGCAAGTTACAAAAAAATAATGGCCTAGAGCTGCTAAAAACATTTCTACATTATTTTTAGAAAATGTTGATAATAAATAATATGTTCTAGTATTACGCACACGTGTGAAGAGATATAGTATTAATCATATAAGAATATAAGATGTTTAACACTACAAAATGCATGATATCTTAACAAAATTACCTTTTTAAAAAAAGATAAAAAAAAGGCGCCAAGTGTGCATGTACCTTCCATAAAAAAGTGTACTTTACATAAACTAAAAAAAAAACCGTTACATAAATAATATAGTTCAAGTGATAATGTTGTTAATTTTTTATTATAAATTACCCCTCAGTAGTACGTATGCATGTATTAAAAAAGAAATGAAATCAAATCTTTAAATTACGTCAATTGCAAAACGAATATATAATTTCTTGCAACATATAACATATACTATTGTATTTTATAAATTGCGAAAAGAACATATATTTTATTGCAACATATAACATTTAATTAACGAGACAAAATGATACGTACCTTTATCTTTCTATCCAAGAGTTTTTTATATTTGCAATGGAATACAACATTTGATCTAAAAAAAAATTAAAAACGAAGCATCACAAAATGAGAAAATTTTATTAAAATAAAATATTTTATGTAAAACTACTTGGCGCGTTTTAGTTTGTCACATCCTTGGCTATTACCATTACTTCGTCGCAGGCTGTACATTTCGCTTCTCGCAGCACCGAGTCTATGTGAATTAGATGGTGTGTGTACATAGGTGTATAAATAAGTTTGAGATCGTCTGACATGTATGTGTAACATCTCTGGCAAATATTAGAGTGGTTGCCATAGTGTTGATACATCAGATGGTTCTCCCATGTGATAACACATCGGAGTTTCATTAAGTATTTATGAGCACACCACAGATGGTCTTTCGTTGAATAAGTTTCTGCCTCTAACCACGTGTTGTCCCAACAGAATTTGCCATAACAGGGTCCTGCCATTTTGTATATACTGTAACCGACGAGCAAGTGGTTTATTAATTTTTATTTTCTGTTAAAGAAGAAAAGGGAAGATAGTAACATTGTTCAATCTATTTCGATAGATTATCGGAAACTAATTATCCTACGCACAAGATATTCGTCATATTTGCTCTTGTATAAAATATATCTATATATGTGTATATTTTATATATTGTGACGTGACATTTTGTCCGTCACTGTGCGGACTTGTCGGCGGCGGACTCGTGCTTCCTACCGGCTCGAAGGGCGAGCGCGTAGGCGAGCGCGCATGCGAGCGCGCGTGCAAACGCACCTGCGAACGTGCGTTGAAATTCGCGTCATTTGATTAACTCGGCAGATTTTATTCTTTTATGTCAGCGTTTCTTTTGCGCGATAACCAAGCGTAGCAGGAGGCGTAAACGCGCCACGGATCACGCTCGGCAGCTGTGAGATTGCATTGTATCATCGTGCCGTCTCACCCGCCACTCTCGGAAGGAAGACCGAAGAAAGGCAGCACGGGAAGGAGGAAGGAGGAAGAACGAAGAGACAGGCGCATATCCGGGAGCCCGGATTAGCAGGTTGTACCCATTTGTATAATTTCTAGTAACCGCTGGCACATAAAAAAGGGACCATACTTTCACCATGCACCCCTTGCAGAGCACCGGAGAAGGCCAGAATTCCCGGCCACCCTGGAGGGACCGGACGGACGCCCGTCGGAAGCCTAGTGCCCGACGAACAAGACGGAAATCCATCAAGACCTCCTCCGACAGGCTAGGAAGTGCAGGGGCCG